AGTTGATGACGTCATAGGATCTCAAAATGCAATAAATAAATAAAACCACCAAAAAAAGTCACTTATTATTTACAAAGAAAGACCAACAAAACATCGGGAGCATATATTATGTTCCTTCCATTTATCATACTGCAAATAAGCCACAGGAAAACCAAAACTATTAGTTATTATTATTAAGCTGCAAAAGTGAAAGAAACGTGTGGCACGTAAAAAATTAAACTAAAAGCAGTGGGGCGGACCACCACCCTGCTCCACCACGGGCGGTGGTGTGCATTAGGTTTAGTGATTAATATGTTGATAGGTTTTTATAGGTTTAGAGATTAATATTTTTTGCTTTTAATTTGTGAAACAAGGTCAGAGGAAGCTGGTTCTGGATCGGTCGATTGGACCCGGTGTTACACCATATTCTGTGACCTGCAACAGGGCATGCAACACCGCACCCTACAATCACAATATCACAGAATATGGTGTAACACCGGTTTGCAACGATCTCCAAACACTCAGGAAGATGATTCATTTTCTGTTTCCTTACGTTAGTTGAACCGGAAGATTCATCTTTAGTGAAATATTTCCAAACTATTGATGCATTTCTACCCGTTTGCCAAGACTGGGCCTGCTCCGCGCCATCCGTCTGCTTGGAGGAATCCATTTGGTAGCTTCTACTAATAGCCCGGTGTGGATCATGTGACGCAATGACGTAACTGTGACGTAATGACGTCAATGTGAATACTCGACCTGAAATAAAAAAAACTCGGGAGATGTCCTAGAAATCGGCATGTCGATTACTCGAGTAGTCTGTTAAAGCCCTATATATATATATATATATATATATAGTAAATAAATATAGTAAATAAATAGTACTGTATTTCCATCCTAGTCCCACACACAAATTTATTCAGACAACTCAAATAGGATGTTTGAAGTTTATAGGAGTGGGAGTATGAGGTCAGTGTGGGGGTTAGTCAATTTTAAGACATTTCTTCTTTCAGTATCAGCTGGTGGCAATACAAAAAAAAGTTCAATAATTAAAATAATTTTTTAAAAATCCAGGGGAAAAAAAAAACTTGGAAAAACTTGAGCTGACTAGCAATTGCACATCAAGATTTAAAAGTGGCATCTAACATTTTATATGCAACCAGAGTTCAGATAAAGATCTTTATCTATTTCTAATCCATTTTCTCCACGCGTCTTCTAAAAAAATCCCCCCCGCCATATCTGATTCATAAAGGCTGGTTTTCTTGTAGATGTGGTGTAGAGATAAGACTAGCAGCTTTACTTTTTTTGCTCTCAGACATCCTGGTAATAAATACCAACCCTGCTGCTGTGTGCTTTAGGCTGAACAACTTGTTTGTTACCTGAGACCTTGTCCTTTTATATTGTCCTCATTATTTAAAACCACTGGACAAATAACAGGTTTGTAGGTGGTAAGTGGCGTATTGTGTTTAGTTTTGTTTCCCAGACTTTCCATTTACATTTTACCATTTAAAAGCAGCCGATAGGAGCTTAGAGATAACCACCGAAACAACCAAGTTAGAAAATAATACATCAGTAACAGATAAATCAGCAGCTTGAAGCAAAAGGTTTTCTTTGAATACCTTGAAATTCCACCCAATGTTTGCTTCTCTAGTTTCACACATTAAAAAAAAATATTCATGACATTTAAGTACGAGGACGCTTGTTTTTCATTGGTTTCACAAGATTTTACCATCATTTAGTTTTGTTGATAGAATGCAAATATTATAATATTATGCAAAATAGAGGCTCTTCAAAAACAGACCACTTTCACTTCTGGGGTTTTGTGCATCAGAACATAAGGACAATGATCTGGTCTTTACCAGGTTTTAAACTGATGCAAATCTAAGCCAAAGTGAAATAAATAAAAATAACGTTCCAACATGTCGTTATTCATTTAACAAAATAAAGCCCAAATGAAAAAACTGTGTGTAAAACTAAGTCCACCCCTCCAATTAACGGCTTCAGCAGCTAAAACTTAATGGTAAAACGGCTGCCAATCTTCCCAGGAGTGAACGTCACTGTAAATTAACAAACCCCATGCTCAATAATCCAGGTATACAATCCAACATCTTTCAGTCAGGTCATCTGGACAGTGTTGTTGTTTTTCTTTTTGTGCTGAAACGTTTCGCCTTCGATCCAGAAGGCTTCATCAGTCAAGGAAACACAAAACAAAACTCCAAAAAAGTTAAATCTGGTCCTCTGGACATTCAAAATAAACAAAAAACAAAACAAAGCTTTGTTTTTTTTTTTTTTTTGTTTATTTTGAATGTCCAGAGGACCAGATTTAACTTTTTTGGATTTTTCTACCTGGATTATTGAGCATGCATCAGGACAAAACAAAACTGATTCTTCCCCCAACAGCTTACTCCAAAGTGGAACAAACTGTCCAGATGACCTGACTGAAAGATGTTGGATTGTATACCTGGATTATTGAGCATGGACTTTGTTGTTTTCAACCAGTTTGACAAGACTGTCAACAAGGAAGAGGGCCGGTAATGGAGGAGGGGGCGTGACAAAGAGACCATTTTAGCACCAACATAACTGGTTTGTTCCACTTTGGAGTAAGCTGTTGGGGGAAGAATCAGTTTTGTTTGGTGTGTTTCGTTGACTGATGAAGCCTTCTGGATCGAAGGCGAAACGTTTCAGCACAAAAAAAAAAACTGTCCAGATGACTTGACTGAAAGATGTTGGGTCACTGTAAATTCACCCCGAAGGTCAGAATGTGCAACATTCTGACAAAAATAAAATATTCTACAGGCTTCGGTTAGCAGGTTAAAGTTTCTGACAGGACAGTTTTGGGAAAAAAAGACTAAACAAATGTGGCTTGTTGGGAATGTTTGCATGGGGGGAAAGAAAAGTGTATTTTCTCTTTGGGAAACATGGGAGTTGACGTAGGTTTGTAAAGTTTCATCTCAAACAACTACAATACATGCACCTCTGGAACAATGTTCTTTGAGACCAAAGTGCAAACGATTACCCAAAATTCACAGAGCCATGTTTGACATAGTTTATTAGCAAGAACACCTCATACCAACTGCCAAGCATGGTGGTGGAGGGGTGATGATTTGGGCTTGTTTTGCTGACGCAGGACTTGGGAACCTTACAGTCATTGAGTTGATAGTTAACTGTATAGCAAAGCTTTCTGGAGTAAAATGTGAGGAGCTCTGTCCGAAAACGAAGGCTTGGCTGAAACTGGGTCATGATGCAACAGGACAATGATGAACAAATCTACTGTTGGATAAAAACATCCTTCCATTATCTACTTACTTCTAAAAAAAAAGCCACACACAAAGACAAGATTTTTTAACCCAGTTTACTTTCAAGGGCAGAGTTTCACCCAGGTTTACGCAGATGTTTCATTGACGCCTTAGTTGCAAAGGTCTGCGCCGGACACAAGCAGCATTTTCTTATACACGCTTATTAGCACGATGACCTCGGCCTCTCAACACATACTCGGAGGTGACCTTGGAGTACCAGCTGCATATGCAGCTTCTCTCTGAGGAAAACAACTCTTGTGACTTTAACTTTAGCCGTGATAAACATCCATAAACCTTTACGTGAATTCCTCTGACATCTACAAGAGAAGTGTTGAAAAAGTAAAAGATCATGACGCTGCAACGGTGCAGTCCAAGTCCAGACCTCAACCTGATGAAGAAGCTGTGGTTGGACCGTCGGTGAGCTGAGCAGAAGCAGGTCATCAAATCTAAACAAAAACTGCAGCAACAATGGAAAGAATACCGAGCCCAAATTCTTCCTCAACAAAGCGAGCACTTGAACGTTACAATAAAACAGTCAACGGGAGTTGGGGATGGGGCTTCGACAAACAGCTGCTTAGATTTTCACACAGCTTTTCCATTTTGTCTTTGTTGTTCAACCAACAATGACTTGGTGAGATCCACTGTGTACTTTGTACACTTGGTTACATTTAAATAATCTTAGAATCTGGTAAAGACCAGAGCATTTTATTGTGTTCTGATAGGTAAAAACCCAACTGAAGGAGGGTGGACTTTCTTCCTTCTATAACTCTAATAGCGGCAACGCAACTGTCCAATCAGAGCGCTTTAGATACACAAAGACAAAATAAGGAGTTTGCCTCACGGCCACATTTTTCTGCAGATATTTGGACGTAGCGGAGCTTCAGGTAGTGTAAAAGTACTTGTTTTTCTGGACCTTGTATGGGTTTGTGTTTGTAAGGGCTGAGCTGATTCATTTAATTCCAGCAGGGCAGGAATGTTCAGCCCAGGCTGCAGTCGTTCAAGATCATATTCCCTCCTGGGCTGCCCACCGTGGCTAATACTGTCTGCATCGCTCCTGAGCACAGGTACAACCACAGACGAACAAGCAGATCAATTCAAGACTGAACACGAATGTTAAGTATAGATAGTTCCTTTTTGTGTTGAACTTGATGCGGTGGATGTAAATGATCACTACGACCTTCGTGACGGATCAAACTGGTGAGAGTCAGGCCTCGGGGGATGATGAAGCTTCGCCAACGAGGCTGTGACGCTCTGTTCCAGGAGGATTGTCGAGGTCTTAACTTCCCAGAGATTGGAGCTTTTACTTTTCTCTTCTTTTCTCCGAGTTTGGCTTTTAGCACATCTCAATGTCCCTAAATACTCCTGTACTATACACAGAAGTATTGATTTAAAAGTTTTCTTTCATTAAGACAGAGCTGTGGTGGTTGGAAGTGGAATGAAGGCATTACACACAATATAGCAGCACTAAAGAAAACTCTTGAACCCCTGCAAAACCACTATTTTTGTTCTGTCACATTTCCCTGGAAGGCTAATTCGAGCCTTATCAACCTCTTTCTATTATGCGTGTGCTTAAAGATCTTTTGATAAGATACACGTCTTGGAAATGACTATCTGCTACATTCGAATCAGTGCAATGTTGTTTTTTCCTACTTTACCCTTCTTGTACGTAATTCCGTCTTTGGAAAATTTCGTTTAATATTCCAAGAGGTCTAAAATTAGTTTTGCTTGATTAGCTCTAAAAGTATTTGTTCCTCCAACAATAGTTTAATTTGTGAATGTTTATGAAGCATTCACACTATTGTGATCCATTTTTCTTCCATGTTTTTCAGCATCTTTCTCATAGTTTTTGTGTTATTTCAACAAATATGTATCAAAATGTTGAACTCATTCGGGACAATCCTGCTAAGACTTTTGGTGTTGGTGCAACTTTAGCTTTTTGAAATATTTAGCCTTTTCTGTCATTTTTTCCATAGAAAATGAAATGAGTTCATTTTACGTCCTTCAAATCTTAAGATCTGTTTGCAACATTTAACTGCTCTGTTCACATTTTGTTCCGATTCAGATTCTTTCAGCTTCCTTATGCAAATTTAAACTTTTTTCAGCTAGTTTCAGCTAATTTCAACATTTTTTCAGCTGTTTTGTGCTCTTTTCAGATTTTTTTCTGCTAACTACAACATTTTGTTCTTCTAACTTCTCTCTGCTAATTTCAGCTTTTTATGCTCTTTTCAGCTTATTTCAGCTGGTTTCAGTTTTTTTCTACGATTTCAGCTACTATTTAGCTGTTTTATGCCAATTTTAGCTTTTTTTTGGGGATCATTCCACATTTTTTGCATTCATTTCAACTTTTTTCAGCCTAATTCAGCAAAAATGTGCTCTCTCCATTTCCTTCTAGTAATTTAAGCTTCTTTCTGTTTTTTAGCTACTTTTCAGTTGTTAGTATTTATTAATTTATTTGGCTAATTTCAACTTTTTTCAGATAATATCCACTTTTTGCGCTCATTTCTGCTTCTTTGAGCCAAATTCAGCAAATATGTGTTCTTTCTGATTTCTTCTGCTAATTTAAGCTTGTTCTACCTGTCAGTTACCTTTTTAGTATTTTTTTTTTAGCTAATTTCAGCTGTTTTCAGATAAATTCAATTTTTTTGTGGTAATTTCTTCTACTTCCAGCGTAATTAAATTCTTTCTACTAATTTCAGCTTGTTATGCTCTTTTCAGCTGATTTCTGCTAGTTTCAGTTTTTTCTACTATTTCAGCTACTATTTAGCTGTTTTATGTAAATTTTGCTTTTTTGGCTAATTCCACATTTTTTGCACTCCGTTCAACTTTTTTTCAGCCTAATTCAGCTAAAATGTGCGCTCTCCACTTATTTCTGGTATTTTAACCTTATTTCTGATTTTTAGCTACTTTTCAGCGGTTAGTTTTTTTTTGTTTGTTTTGCTAATTTCAACTTTTTCAGATAATATCCACTTTTTGCGCTCATTTTGGCTTCTCTGAATTTAATTTAGCAGATATGTGTTATTTCTGCTTTCTGCTAATTTAAGCTTGTTCTACCTTTCAGCCACCTTTTTAGCATTTTCCGCTAATTTAAGCTGATTTCAGATACATTCAATATTTTTGTGATAATTTATTTTACTTCCAGCCTAATTAACTTCTTTCTGCTAGTTTCAACGTGTTATGCTCTTTTTAAGCATATTTATTTTTCAGCATCTATTTAGCTGTTTTATGCTAATTTTATCTTTTTCAGTTATTTCCACAATTGTTGCACTCATTTCAACTTTTTCAGCCTAATTCAACAAAAATGTGCTCTTTCCACTTCCAACTGGTAATTTAAGCTTCTTACTGTTTTTTTTTTTTTTTTTTAGCTTCTTTTCAGCTCATTTTCACTTTTTGTGTTCATTTCGGCCTCTCTAAACATTCAGCAAATGTGTCCTTTTCTGCTTTCTTCAGCTAATTCAGGCTTCTTCTATTTCAACTGCATTTCAGCATGTGTTTTTAATCAATTTCAGCTGTTTTTCCAGCAAGTTCTTCTCCATTAAGCATTCACACTGCATTTTGGCAAGAAATGAAATTTATCCAGTTATTTTGAAACTAAGGAGTCATTTCTGTCTGTTTTAAAGTGGCTGAAACTCTTTTAAAATAAATAAATAAATAATACACCTTGAATCAACATTACTGGCTCATTAAACTGCTTGCATGGAAACAATAAACTCCATACAGGAAAGTGTAGGAGAATAATTTCCTTCTATAAACTGATGGTATGTCTAATTATGTCAACGATGGTCTGAATTTGCACAGAGCTGAGCTGCACAGAAGGGCTAACGGTGACATCATCAGGATGGCAGACCATCCAAAAGGCTCAAGGAGAGGGAGTGATTCTGGGCTGCAGGTACTCACCTGGTCCATCAGACACAGGAGACCTGGACATTGAATGGTCTGTGGTCAGTCCGGACTCTACAAAAAAGGACAGAATGGTACGATTCGCCACATGAAGTATTTATACGATCCTTTTAAACACTAAAAATAAAGCTGAGCACTTTCATGTATCACATTATGTAACCAAATATATTGTTTGTTTTAAACCAAGCCTTTTTTCACCCCGTCTAAGAAAACGTTTCATAAATCGAATCTTCATTTCTCTTTGATGGCACGTTAAAGACGAGCCTTAATCTGTATGTTTTTTGCACCCAGCTGTCTTAATGCAGTGTAACGTGCATCACATGAGTGATTTCCCAGAAAATTGATGCAAATCACATTATTTTATTTTTCTACCGCTCTTATTTCCAGGAATGACCCTTCAGATTATAATTACTGTACACCGTTTAAAAGTATATTCTTTGTTTAATTTCACAAAACAGCAATTAAGACATTAAAGCCAAATAAAAAATATAACCTGCTTTGCAGCACATTAATTCAATTTAAAAATATTGTAACCTTGTGGTAATTTGTGCGTTAATGACGTGGCAGCAATATTAATAAGGTTCTTATTCATTTGTGTTTGCAGTCTTTTGTTAGTTTTTGTTTCTTCTCCACTGGCTTCTGTCCAGCTTCATGACCGTTACTGGTCAGCTCCATCTGTTTTACTGACAGCCACATATCCTGGGTTGACCAGTTGATACACACACACACACACACAAACACACACACTCAGCTCAGCTTTGTTAGGGTCAGTTAAGCAAAATCTCTCATTATTTAATCTGCTGTATGTATTCATATTAAAGGGCACACGTGTGCTGATTACTAACAGCACTGGTGGTATAGGGAACAGTAAAGAACAACTGTTGGATAAAAAAATATCCTCTATTCATCTTACTTACTCAAAGAAGCAACTGGTTTTACTTGCAAGGGCAGACTTTCACAACAGGTTACACAGACGTATAGAAGTTCTACACGCATGGAGCCCAGGCAGGAGAATCTGCCACGGACAGTGTGCGAGACTTGTTTTTATAAGCTTATCAGCTCCTCGGCTCACAGGCAGACCGGTGGACTGCCAGGTGCACATGCAGGATCAAATCAGCTCCTCGTTCAGCCCTCTCCGAGAGAGAGCCAGGTACTCTCTGCTAACTCAAACACATGGTTCATGGGCAGTCAACATCCTCAGCCATAGAGTTAAAAACATCCATAAACCTGAACCAAAATCCCCCAACAACTATAAAGGACTTCTAGTTATATGACAAACAAAACTCCACTGAAATGCCAAAATTGCCAACACTAAATAAGAAACTCAAACATAGCATAAAATAAAATTCAAAAAGCAACAAATCACCAAATAACACCCACAACACAACACAGACTGCTACAACAGTCACTGATTGTACTGGTAAATTAATATGACAAACTGTCACAAACTAAAACAAGACTATTTTTACTCGTTTTTTTTTTTTTTGCCAAGTTGTTAAAAATGTTCAAAGAAATCAGAGTAAAGCAGCCAAGCAAAGAATACTAGCAATTATCAGAAACTTGTTATGTGACTGTATGAGCCAACAAAAGCCCATTTGCACATCCAGAAAAAAACACAAGAACCATTATCCTTCATTTGGGGCTGGAGTTTCTGACCTGCAGGCTCACTGCACATTTCCATGAAGTAGCTTCCACTAATTAGGTAAAATATGTGTTTGTCGCACTGAATTCATCTCCGGCTTGTGTCTTTCTTCATAAGTCTGTCTTGTTGTGCTTGGCATAAAATAAATAAATTAAATCACGAGTGTTATCTCCCCTTTGGAAATCTGCTCCCTGCTGCTGGGCTGGAAGCGTGCCAGTGAGCTTGCAGTGACTCAACCGCACAATAAATTTGCTTTTAAACTTAAACAATGAGAAAAGATCCTTACAGCTGCAGAATGGGGTGAATCATATCAAATTCAACCCACTCATTAAGCACTTGTGCTATTTTCATTATCATCTGCTCTCTTTCTTTGTGTTTAGCTCTTGTCGTATACGAGCGGCGCTAGGCACCACCACGGTGACCAGGCGTTTGCAGAAGAGCTCAGCTTCGCTTCAGGTGACCCCTCCAGCGGTGACGCCTCCCTCTCAATCCCTCGGCTGTCGCCTGCCCACAGTGCCACCTACCAGTGTAAAGTGAAGAAGTTGCCTGGGGTCGACTCACGCAAGATGTCATTGGTGGTAATGGGTGGGTGCAAGGCTACTCATGTCCTGGGGATTCAATCTGTCGCTTTTAACACCAGAGCTCAAAACGTGGAGGCACAAAGAAAGTTCACGTCACACATTTCTGTGCAGCTTACAGCAAGGTGCAGAAATCTTTTAACGCTTATATACACAGTCGTGCTCTTATAGCGGCTTTACCGTAAACTCTTAAGAATATTATTTATATGACTTTAAGCTACAGCTTCCGTGCAGCTCACAGTACTGAGACCGCAGAGTTACCAATGATGTCCTCATGGCTGCAGACACTGGTTCTCCCTCCCTCCTTGTTCTCCTTGACCTCACTGCAGCTTTCGACTGCAGACCATAGTATCCTCCTCCACCGTCTTCATGTGGAGGTCGGTCTCTGCGACACTGTCCTGGACTGGTTTAAATCTTTCCTCTCCAATAGGTGGGAATGTGTTAGTCTTGGCAATGCCAAGTCCCAGACTGTCTGTGTCTCCTGTGGTGTCCCTCAAGGGTCAGTTTTAGGGCCCCTGCCATTTTCCCTTTACATGCTGCCTTTAGGTCAAATTATTAATCAGTACAACGTTTCTTTTCACTGTTATGCCGACGACACACAGCTTTACATCAGGACTGGAGCATCATCTTCACCACTGTCATCTCCATCTTCACTCACTGCCCGCTCTACCTGCCTGGAGGAGATGAGGGCATGGATGAATCAGAACTTTCTTCAGTTAAACTGCTCCAAAACTGAGGCCATACTGATTGGCACCCCTCACCAGGTTCAAACATCAACTATAACGACTATTTCCTTTTCTGGACAAGACATCCCCCTCTCCACCTCTGTTACAAATCTTAGAAAAAAAATGGACTCTCATCTTACATTTGAAAATCACATTAAGCATCTGTTTAAAACCTGTTTCTTCCATCTTCGAAATATCTCCAAACTGCGCCCATCTCTCACTTTTGCTGATGCAGAGAAACTCGTTCATGCCTTTGTCTCCTCCAGGCTGGACTACTGCAACTCCCTGTTTACTGGAATACCCGGCAAAAACCTTCAGAAGCTTCAATATATTCAAAACAGTGCAGCCAGGATTTTATTGAGAGCTCGTAAATTTGAACATATTACACCCATTCTCCATAACCTCCACTGGCTTCCTGTCACCTACAGAATTCAGGACAAAATTGCTCATCACCCATCAGTGTTTATACGGAAAATCACCAGATTATCTGAAGGACCTTCTTGCTCCATATTCATCCACCCGGTCCCTACGATAACAGAATAGTAATCTCCTCCACCTTCCACAAACTAAATTAAGAACCATGGGAGATCGGGCATTCTGTGTAGCTGCCCCCCACCTCTGGAACTCCCTCCCTGACTATCTGAGGGCTCCACAATCATTGACTGACTTTAAAAAAGGCTTAAAGACTTTTTTTAAGCAAGCCTATTCTGCCTCCACTTGATTGTATCGCTGATTTTAGTTGAATTTATCACAGATTTTAGTTGATTTTATCACAGATTTTAGTTGATTTTATCATTGATTTTAGTTGATTTTATCACAGATTTTAGTTGATTTTATCATTGATTTTAGTTGATTTGATCACTGATTCTAGTTGATTTTATCATTGATTTTATCACAGATTTTAGTTGATTTTATCACAGATTCTAGTTGATTTTATCATTGATTTTAGTTGCACTCTGTAGCACTTTGAGATTTTTGTTAATGAAAAGTGCATTACAAATTAAATTCATTATTATTTATTATTATTAACTTCTGCTTAATCATCTCAAGCTCTTTTCATGGTTACGGTAAATGAGGAAGCCACTATCACATATATTGATTTCTAATCATAGTTTGTGACCATGAGGATTTTCTAAATGTATTTATTAGCCTTGATTTAACCAGACAAACCCATTGAGATCACATATTTTATGTAAGAGAGGCCTGGCCTGAGAGCAGCCCAACATGCATGGTTATGGATTGTTGGAGGAAACCAGAATACCCCGTGGGAACCCACGCAAACCAGAGGAGAACATTCAAACTCCACCCAGAAACATCCCAGGTCCAACCCAGGATCGTGCCAGTGGTGTAGTCTATGTGATATGCAGGTACACGGAGTATACCCACTAGAAAAGTTTAAGAATTTCAATATACCCATTGAAAAGTGCCCATTGATACATGACATATCATTGGGCACGTGTCATTGATACGTTAAACGCTTCCGTAACAGTCTATCGGTTTGCAGTGCTTATTTATTACATTTGCTTATCCAGCAAATTATTGTTTAATTCTGTACTTAATACTTGAACTTGTTTCGCTTTGATATGGTTTTATAATTTCTACAACATGTTTTTAATACAAAGCCAACTGTTGTACAAAGTTTGTTGCACATTTATTCAAATATAAGTATCAGATAAATTTGGAAATGTTCAATATGCTTAAAAATCTAATTATTTTGACAATTACATTGTACTAACTGGTGTACTTTGCTTTCTAAGCACAGTATATTCACTACAAAAATGTAGAGTACACCACTACGCCTGTGTTCAGCAGCAGTATGTCTGCAGGTTAAAGCCCCAAAAGATCTCGAGATGTTCGCCTACTTTTAAGAATTCTCACAAGCTGTAGGTTTTGTTTTTTATTTTGTGGTTGATCTAAATTTTAGGCTTCTTTTGATATTTTTTTGTTCCTTGCTTTGTTGTTGAGTTACTTTCTTGTCTCACGTTTCTGGTTGTTAGTAATCAGCACACCTGCCTTTTACTTAATGATAAGGATTCAAGGATTCAAGGTTCTTTATTTGTCATTCGCACCACATGTGGTGGAACAAAATTGTGTACACAAGGTCCCAGTTACATCCAACAAAAAGTATTAATGTAAAAGAAAAACAGTAATAATATCTAAGATATGACCTAAGAAAACACTAATGAAAATACACTAAGCACTAATAGCATAAAATATAAAAACAATATACCAAACAGCAGCACGCACATGAGTCTGTGTGAGCAGATGAGCACGCATGAACACAGCAACATGAAACAGATCAGCAGCAACATGAAACAAATCAGCAGCAACATGAAACCGATCAGCAGCAGCATGAAACTGATCAGCAGCAGCATGAAACAGATCAGCAGCGACATTGAAATCGATCAGCAGCAGCATGAAACAGATCAGCAGCAGCATGAAACAAATCAGCAGCAGCATGAAACAGATCAGCAGCAACATGAAACAGATCAGTAGCGACATTGAAACTGATCAGCAGCGACATTGAAACCGATCAACAGCAGCATGAAACAGATCAGCAGCAACATGAAACGGATCAGCAGCAACATTGAAACAGATCAGCAGCAGCATGAAACACATCAGAAGCAACATGAAACGGATCAGCAGCAACATGAAAGATCAGTAGCAACATGATGTGATATTTTCACAGTGAATATTCTGGTCAGAAATTCCTGAGTCTAACATCCTCAGGGTAGAAGCTGTTCCTCAGTCTAGTGGTTCTACACTTAATGCTCCTCAACCTCCTTCCTGAGGGGAGCGGGGCAAAAAAATTGTGTGTGCTGGGTGAGTGGGGTCCTTCATGATGCAGGTGGCCCTCTTCCTGCATCTGGAGGTGTAGATGTCTGTGATGGTGGGGAGGCTGACTCCAACATCTTCTGTGCAGCCTTCACCACTCTCTGCAAAGCTTTTCTTTCTGCAGCTGTGCAGCCTCCATGCCACACGTTGATGCTGGAGCACAGGATGCTCTCCACTGCACACCTGTAGGAGGTGGTGAGGACTGAGCTTCCCAGACCAGCTCGTCTCAGCTGCCTGAGGAAGTAAAGTCTCTGATGAGCTTTCTTCATCAGGCTGGTGGTGTTGTTGCTCCAGCTGAGGTTGTTATTCAGGTGCACACCCAAGTACTTGTAGCTGGAGACCACTTCCACTGCAGATCCTCTTATGTTCAGGGGGATAGGTGTGTTTGTTTCTTCAGAAGTCCACAACCATCTCCTTAATCTTCTTCACATTGATGTGAAGGTTGTTCTTCCTGCACCAGCTCTCCAGGTGTTCCACCTCCTGCTTGTAGCTGGACTCATTGTTTGTGATGCATCCCACCACCGCTTTATTATCTGCAAACTTTACAATGTGACAGTCTGGATGTGTAGCTGCACAGTCATACGTGAGCAGAGCGAACAGGGGAGGGCTCAGCACACAGCCCTGAGCAACAGCGAGAGAAGGTCTCACTGTTGAGAGCTGTAGCCAGTTGAGGTGGTTCAGGCATCTGGTAAGGATGCTTCTTGAGCGCCTCTCTAGGAAGGTGCTCCGGGCATGTCCAACTGGGAGGAGACCCCGGGGAAGATCCAGGTCAGGCTGGTAGCAATATGTCTCTCGGTTAGCCTGGGAACGCCTTGGGATCCTCCCAGAAGAGCTGGAAGATGTGGCTGTGGAAAGAGATGTTTGCACCTCCCTGCTCAAGCTGCTGCCCCTGCGACCCGACTTAGGAACAAGTGGAAGATGATGGATGGATGGATGGATCTTCTCTGAAAAGTCTTTTAAATTTGAGAAAAAATAACCTGTGACATTTTCACAGACGTTTCCAAAGTTTATAAAGTAAGAGGAACTTTCATGGACATTTCATCATTAAATATATTAGCCTTTATTGAAATGAACAAACTGGCAACTTTGTTGGTGGGGAGAAAAGAAACCTTAGTCCAAACGGTCCTCATTCATGACGGCTGAAGGATTTTTCCGCAATTGTTTCTTCATTTCCAAGAAGCATTGAATAATCCTGTGTTGGAGGCCTTGAGTGTGTAGCTGCATGAGCGCCTTTCTCCCCTTGAGGTCTTTGCTCCTTTTCTGACCTTCAACTCTAAAAAAAGTTTGTAATTTTGTGGAAAAAAAATAAAATGGAAGCACGTTCGATTTGGAAGCTCGATGTTCCTGAACGCCACGTGTGGAAACGCTCACTTCTAGCACAGAGAAGATAAAGCTATTGAGGTTTTTTTCTTTCGCCTGATTGTAAAGATAAATGTGGTTCCAGAAATGTAAAGTTCAATGGATGCACCCATCGTTTTGCATTTCATTTTTTAATGGCTCAATGGACCATTTATCTCCTCTTACCTTTCTAAACTGGACTACATGTGTATATTGATGCTTCAGCATTGCATTTTACTTCAACAAACCATCCTTTTGTTCTTGCATTGAGTAAAATAAGTTGCTACGAACTATGTCTGGAGCTCAAATCAATGTCACAAACAGCATAAATTCATTTATTTAATTCAACATTTTACATTCGGCTTCGAGTAGATTGGGGTAAAAAGATCCAGGCTATGATTTTGTGCTGCAAACGAGATGGGAATATAAAAATTACCCGTTACTTGCATGATTGCAGTGAAGCCATCAGCCCCTAAGTGCTGGTTGGATGGGGGGGAGCTGGTTGGAGGAGCGGTGTCTCTTCACTGCACGTCTGCTGAAGGCTCCACTCCCTTGGAGTACAAGTGGAGGAGAGAAAGTAAAGACCCGCTGCCTGCTGCTGCCACACAGAGTAAGTCTGACCTCTCTTGATGTCATAATGCTACTACACATCAAAGACTGTGTGCACATGCTGCATGTGTGTTACTGTTGTTTTTTTTTTTTTTTTTTTAAACCAAAAAAGAAACGTGGATCCTGTACGCACAAAACTGAAGATATGCCACTGGTTTTCTGACAGCACAACATCAGCTAATTACTTGTCAATTACTTTACAGTCTTTGATTGCTGCATCGGCAGCGGCTCATTTGCATTCCCTGCCAGTTTTGTTTTTCACTCTTAACACGAAACCATTCCTGAGCTACTCCCCACAGTTTGCTGCAGACTGCACTGATCAACCTCTTTTTGCAGCAGCACAACAAATAAAAGGAAATCTGCACATTCTCAGTAAAATTTGGGAGGAAATACGAGAACTTGTCTATCTACAGACGAAAATTCTCGGGACCCTATCACGATTGTCAGCCCATCTGTGGCATCCCTTAAACACAAGTCAGACCTTTAATGACTCCGTTGAACATCTCATATATTTAAATAAATTAAAATGCATGAAAGGCAAAGCTCTCCGTTGGTCTACGTTCCTACTCTCACCTGTGGTCATGAACTCTGGGTCGTGACCAAAAGAATGAGATCACAGATACAGGCGGTTGAAATGAGTTTCCTCTGCAGGGCAGCTGGTCTCTCCCTTAGAGACAGGGTGAGAAGTTCAGTTATCAGGAGAGACTCGAAGTAGAACCTTCTCCACATCGAAAGGAGCCAGTTGAGGTGGTTCAGGCATCTGATAAGGATAATTATTGGGGGCCTCCCTTGGGAGGTGCTTCAGGCATTTCCAACTGAGGAGAGACCCCGGGGAAGACCCAGGACACGCTGAAGAGACTGTCTCTCAGTTGGCCTGGGAACATCTTGGAGTCATCCCAGAAGAGCTGGAGGAGGTGGCTGTGGAAAGAGATGTCTGGACCTCCCTGCTCAAGCTGCTGCCCCCATGACCCAACTTTGGAACAAGTGGAATATAATTTTCATTCAGCCTTTATGTAGACAGGTTAATCCCATTGAGCCTCTGGGACTCGTTTACAAGAGAGACCTGATTTTAACAGTGATGACGACAGTGGACAACAAAGACTATAACGGACAATCAGACACCAAAGTCTATGCTCAATAATCCAGGAATAAAATCCAACAATGTTCAGTCAGGTCATCTGGAGGTTTTCTTTCTTTTTTTTTTGGTACCGAGACGTTTCACCTTCCATCCAGAAGGCTTCATCAGTCTGAGGAAACGCCAAACAAAATTAATTCTCCCACAGCAGCTTACTCCAAAGTGGAAAAAAAAAACCAGCCATGTTGGTGCTAAGATGGTCTCGGCGCAAAAAACAAAAAAACGTCCAGATGACCCGACTGAAAATTGTTGAATCATAAAGGATGCATACAAATTAGATTTTTTTTTTAACAAGTGAAAATCAAATGGTATTTAAAAGGAAAAGTAACACACACACACAACAAACAAACAAACAAAAACAAAAAAACAGCTAGGTTGTAGCACGGTGTAGAAAACTAAAAACAAGAACATGTTCCATAATGGATGGATGGATGAAAAATGCATGGACAAAAAGATGAGTCCTGTAATTTAATATTTTGTAGCAACACATGTTGCCATGTTTGAGTGCTTTAGCTGTGTGTTTTGGGTAATTATCTTGTTGAATGATCCACTACCTGTGACTGAGGCTGAGTTTTCTGACATTGGATGGGACATTTTGCTCCAGGATGTCTTGATAGTCTGCGACTTCACGCCCTACACAGAATCAAGGTTCCCTGTGCTAACTGCATCAAAGCAGTGCAAAAACAAAACAGAGTCCCCTCCATGTTTCACTGTATGTTTTTAAAAAAAAATTCTTTCTACAATCATAGGGCTGATGTAACTGACTAAACAGCTAGATTCGTCCTCATCAGTTCAAAATCTATTCTCTCAGAAACTTTGGGGTCCTCAACAAGCATTTTGGTGAATTCTTGACCGACTCATTTTGTTTAAAATGTGACGGATGGTGCCGTCATAAAGCAACCGTGACTTTAGAGTTGGACTTGAATGGTACCCCTGGATCTTTATCTTCCAACTTCACTTTCAGTCTGATCAACCTGGGGGTGCATTTCCTCTTGCGTCCACATCCTGGAAGGATGTCTACAGTCCTTTGAATCTTGTATTTCTTAATATCAGCAGCAGCTGTGGCCTCAGGAACATGAAGATGGTCTTGTAGCCTTTACTTTTAACATGGACATCTATAATCTTCTTTCTGAGCTCTTTGTGCAGCTCTGGTCTTTGCTCCATCTTCAGCGTGGTGCTCACAACACCAAACTACCCAGTGGCTGTTTGTTCCCTTTAAATAGGCATCTGAAATGGTTTACAGCACCTGTGACACTAATTAATGTTAAACAGTTTGAAATATATATAATGCAATGATTATTAAGCCAATGTAGCATATTTTTTGTAGAATAAATGTTTCTTTTCAGGTTTAATTTTGAAGGTGAAATAAAGTATTTTAATGGTCTGTAGAGAAGCAAATATATAGTCTGTCAGTGAAATCAAGGATTTTCTGCTTTGTTGATTTCACAGACGGAGAGACCGGAGAGCTGAAAATCAACAACCATTCTCAAAGCTTTGCCGGGGTCTACGTCTGTGAGGTGAACAATGCCGTTGGAGCTGAATACTGTAGGATCTACCTGAAAGCCAAGAAGCGTGAGAGAAAACACACTCACACCCAGTTACAGCTACAGTTTATATGAAAACATGACGAGTCAGATTTTAGATCCTCCTCCTCTTTAGTTTCCGTCTTTGTGCGACAATCTTCTCACGGCTCTGTGACTCGAATGCGTCATTCTCAATGTTGACAGGAAGGAGGTCGCATTTACCGTCTAAAAATAACTGATGCTTTAGCATTGTGTTCCTCGACAGGGTCTGGCTGCTGCTGAGTCACGAAGTTACTAAAAAGTAAAGCTGGATGCATTCGACTGTCTTCTATGACTTCATGCTTCCACACCATGAAAACCAGAAACCAGTGCACGGAGCTAATTATTGGTGTAGAGTGCAGGATGGAATTAAAATACAGTGATGCATCTAAAGAAATGAACATTGTCTCAGTTTCGTGCTCGAGTTTTAGACTAAAATCAGCTCAGGTTGAGAAAATATTTGCAGCTGTTTCGGTTAAACCTTGAAAAAAAAACATTTCAGCAATGGCATGCTATATTCTGAGATCAAAAATGTCCATGCTCAATAATCCAGGTATACAATCCAACAATTTACAGTCAGGTCATCTGGCCAGTTTCTTTTTTTTTTTTTTTTTCTGAAACGTTTCACCTTCCATCCAGATGGCTTCATCTGTCAAGGAAACGCACAACACAAAACTGACTCTTGCCCCAAACAGTTCCCCCAAACTCTCTATATTCTGAGATGTTGCACTGAGTATGTGCATGAATGTCAGCAGTTATCACACCAAAATTTAGCACGTCTGAAAAAGAGACTGATTTTTTGCTGTTTGAGGTTTCTGTCAAATTCAGAATTGGATTCAAAATCTTACTTCTAACCTACAAAGCTCTCAACAACCTAGCTCCATCTTATAGTACAGATCGTATTGTTCCATATTTTCCTAGCAGAGCAATTCGCTCCAAGACTGCAGGCTTACTTGTGGTTCCTAGAGTTTCTAAAAGCAGAGTGGGAGGAAGATCTTTCGGTTATCAGGCTCCTCTCTTGTGGAACCAACTTCCAGTTTCTGTCCGTGAGGCTGACACATTGTTCAGTTTTAAGATTAGGCTCAAGTCTTTCCTTTAAGTACGTGCTATATGTTGTCACCACTGTATGTCCCCATACAATGACGAAATTAGTTCTCTGCATTTACCCCATCACAATGAGGAAGTGGTGCGGTGGGTGGCTATTGAGTGCCGTGGGAGCAGTTAGGGATTCGGTGTCTTGCTCAGAGACATGTGGGAATGGCTGGGAGTCGAACCATGACTTTCTGGTCCCAGGTTGGCTGCCCTTCCTCTACCCCATCTTGGCCCCTTTTTGATAAATCCCTAAAGTTAGGGTTTGAGTTTCCAGAGCCATCCCTTAGTTCTGCTGCTATAGGCTTAGACTACTGGAGGACAAACAAACTGACCGGGGGTACACCTGCACCTACACCTGGACCTGCCATTCTGTTAGTTTGTTTCTACTTCCTGTCCTCTCAAACCCAGCTGGTTGAAGCAGATGGCCGCTTGTCCTGAGTCTGGTGCTGCTGGAGGTTTCTTCCTGTTGAAAGGGAGTTTGTCCTTTCCACTGTTGCCTTTGTGCTTGCTCAGTTTGGGAGACTGTGATGAAGTGAAGATTCAATGCTGGTTTCCTTCCTTAGATAGACAACGTTTACTAACTGGCTTTGTATGTATGTGGATGTTTCTGTACGTTTCAAAATCTGTCCACAAGACGTGTTGTTAACACTACAGACAAGCACACACACAGATGTAGGTGAAACCATTATCTCCTTCACCAGCAGGTGAGAACACTGAAGCAGGACCGGGCTCTGAATAAAGCGGAGCAGCTCTGAGTTAAATGTGTAGGTCCAGCAAAGATGTCTCCCAGGGACGACTGAGGTGAGTTCAGTCAGTGGTTCAGCTCATTGTTTCACAGAATATTTATATTTAGACTTAAAAGACCAAAATACAACTTTTCTACAACTTGAGTTATTCTCTGTGTGTCTCGTGATTCATGAAGTGACCCTCCAGTGCACAACTTGTTGAGTTCTTGTTTACTTTTATTTGGCATTGAGTAGAAAATGATTCATTTTCATTTTAAGTTCAGGATTCTATTCCAGACCAGAAGTTCCCACTGCTGTCTTCAGGAACCCAGCTGATTTATCCAGCTATCAGGACGATAATTAAAAAAAAAAAAGTTAGTTGCATTAAAGTCCAGATTGTTTATTTTGAGTCAACACTGTTCATTAGCGATATCTCACGAAACAGCAGACAGATTTGAGTGAAATTATCAAAAAGTAATCATTCAGTAAGCATCTATACCAAATTTAAGAAGGCCGCCTTTACCAAGTGACTAAACAATACACACAAAAAGCTAAGACACAACCAATTGTACAGCTATGAAGCTAATATTTGGTGTGGTAGTAGCTGAGAGTCGGTCACAACACATACTCCGAGCACTAATGGGTCATGTAAGATACCAATCATGTCCTTCTCAACACAAGATAACCAAAAATGTTGGCTTAAAAGTTTTTGACTGCAACAGAATTTCCCCATTGAGCCTTTTTCTTACCATTAGCTCATCATGGTCAGTAGATTTTTAAAATCCAGTTTCAGCACCGCTGTTTTTCACCACATCATTTACGGTGGTGGTGGTAGTAGTTGGGATTACTTCTCCACAATGTGCAGAACCACATTTTTCACATCTGGATGTGAATTGAGAATATCCTGGATTCTTTCTGCCATGTCAGGAGCCATATCATTTGGAAAACTTTCATCTTGTTGCTCCACATTTTCCCAACAGATAAATCGCAGCATCGCCACCGGGACGTGATTTATCTTTTGGCGTTGCACTTTGAGCATTCCGATTACTTGATTTACTTCTTTCCAAGGTGGTACTAGTTAGCTTTCCATTAGCTTGCTCCTGTTTATCATTTTGAATCACTGGCAGAGTCGTCTCATTTCCACAAAATCCATTTACCTCCATGTTCACAACAATATAGCACCTTTTTCTTTCCAGGACTGTAATCTTCTGCAGAAGTTTGTAGAAGTCATCTGAAGAAAGGGGAGGCATTTTCTTCCAAACACTAAACAGGAAGTGAAAGTAAAAGAGTAGCAAAAAGATTTGGATTTTGTTTAAAAGTGAATTTCACAAGTTTTCTGTTGGTTTCACAGCTCCAAACAGAGCTGGAGTGATTGTGGGCAACACTATGGGGTCCCTGCTCCTCATCTTCATCTTCCTGGTCCTCGCTGTTCTTCTTTACTGGAAGCTAAGGATTAAACGTCGATATGAGAAGGAGCTCTCAAACGAGATCAGGTAAAGCTCTGCAGCTCCCACACATACAGCCAAACAGAGGTTTGGAGTCAATAATCTTAATGTTTCACCCAATTCTCCTTTTGAACTCCAAACTGTCAGAAGCTTTGTAGGGTAAAATGTGATTAAAAGCCAAGAAACAAATAACATTGAAGCATTTCAGAATGAAAAATGCCTGGTAATTAGAGTAGAGCAGGAAAAAAAAAGCTATACGTGCTGTCTAAAGAAAAGCAGTAAAACTTAGGAAAACAAGTGTAGTCTTGTTCTATTAGTGTTGTGGTAATTAAACTTTCATAATCTTAAAAAAAAAAAAAAAAAAATCATCCTAAAAAGGTTTTTGTGACACAGATCAGTATTTTTTGAGACACAAATGCAGCTGAAGTGCTGCCATTAGATACCAACAATTTGGAGGCCCCGACAAGAATTGCAATCCAGTTTTTAATAAATTTATTTTGTAAAAAATATTGAAACCCCCCAAAAATTTTAATTCAATAATTTACACTTGAGTATATGCTCTCCAGGAATGAAGTGTGGAAAATACTTGTTTCAAAACATTAAATTAGAAAGTTTTTGATTTGGGGAAAAAAAAAAAAAAAAAAAAACCTCCACCATCACTACTACTATTACCACCACATCCACCACCACTACCACCCTTCTACTACCACCACCATCCCTACTACCACTGCCACCACTACTACTCACTCTACCACAGCCACCACCGCTACTACCACCATCACCACTACTACCAACCCCACATATATTACTACCCCCACCACTACCACTTCCAATGCCACCACTATTACCACAGCCATCCCCACCACTGCCACCACTACCACCCCTCTACTACCACCACCACCACCACTAATACCAACCCCACCACTACTATTACCACCACCACTACTACCACAGCCATCCCCACCACTACCAACACTACTACTACCACCACCACTACTACTACCACCACCTTTACTACCACTGCCATCCCCACCACTACCAGCACTACTACTACCACCACCACTACTACCACTGCCACCACTACTACCAACCCCACCAATACTACTACCACCACCACTACCACTGTCACCACTATTACCACTGCCACCAGCACTACTACCACTACTACCACTGCCACCACTACTACCACCATTACCACTTTTACCACTGTCACCACTATTACCACTGCCACCAGCACTACTACTACCACAACAAGTTACAAATCTTGTTTAGTTTTGTTTGATTATTTTTGCTTTGTAAAGAGATTCTAGTTTAGTAAAGTTGCATGAAACAGAATGGAAATGAGTCATTTATTTAGCTCATAAAAATGTTTCAAATTGTCAGTTTTTCTTTCTTTTTTTTTTGTTACCCCAAGAGATTGTTTTCAGGAAGGACACTTTGCTTTATTAATACCTAAAAGTTTTAATATTCAAATACTTTTGAAGTCTAAATCATTGTTTTCTCTTGGGTTCTGTACTGGAAACGTTTGATGATTGTTTAGGAATAAATGCACAAGATCATTTTTCCCAAAGGTATATACAGACCCTTTCCAAAAAATTAGAATATCATGGGAAAGTTGTTTGACTTCCATAATTCCACTCAAAAAGTTAATCTTTAATAGATGACAGATCCAGGGCCCACAATTTAAACAATTTCAAGCATTTATTTGTTTATTTTACATAACTTGGGCTTCCAGCTCATGACACCCATGAAAACAGGATTTAAAAAAAAAAATGAATACAGTGGAGAAATCAGCCCAAATGTTGCAGGACATGAATGTTTTAAACTGAGTGTGACACTAATCATCTACTAAACTCAAAACACCTGCACAGGTTTCCCCAGGTGTCATTAAATTGCTTCAGTTTGGTTCAATGCTCTCAGTTCGGTTCAATATGGGGAAGACTGCAGACATAACAACTGGCCAGAAGACCATCAATGAGACCCTCCATAGGATGGGTAAGCCACAAAAGTCAAGTTAAGGAGGCTGGCTGTTCACAGAGTGCTGTGTCCAAGCATATCAATGGAAAGCCCATTGGAAGGGCAAAATGTGGCAGGAGAAGATGCACCAGCAAAAGAGACGACCGTGAGCTTCAGTGTATCATCAAAGAGAGAAGATTCCAGAATCTGGCAGAGATCCAGAAAGAGTGGAATGAGGCGGGAGTCACAGCTTCAAAAACCACCACATTCAGACGCATCTGGGAGATGGACTACAACTGTCGGGTTCCTCGGTCCTCTTTTCCGATGAAAGTAAAATGTGCCTTTCATTCAGAAATCAAGGTCCAAGGGTTTGGAGGAAGAAGGGTGAGGAACAGAACCCATACTGCTTGAGGTCCAGTGTGAAATATCCACAGTCAGTCATGATGTGGGGTGCAATGTCCGGTGCAGGTGTTGGTAAACTCTGCTTTCTTAAATCCAAGGTCACCGCAACAGTCTACCAGAATGTTTTAGAGGACTTCATGATTCCTTCTGTTGAGGATCTGTATGGAGATGCATATTTCATCTTCCAGCAGGACCTGGTCCCTGCCCATGCTGCCAGAAGCACCAAAACCTGCCACAGTGCTTGACTGGCCAGCCAACTCACCGGACCTAAATCCCACTGAGAATCTGTGGAGTATTCTCAAGAAGAAAACGAGGAGCACCAGACCCAACAACAAAGAAGAGCTGGCAGCAAACATCAAGGAAATCTGGGCTTCCATAACTCCCAGTCAATGCCACGTCGCATCGAGGCAGTGATTAAGGCAAAGGGATTCCCAACCAAGTCGTTTTGAAAGTACCATATTTTGATTGATTTGTTGTGATCCTTATTTCTTTCTTTTTTGGGGGGGGGCAAAAACTGAGAAGTAGTGTGGGCTGATGTCTTCAAAGTATTCAAATTTTTTGAAATCCTGTTTTCGTGGGTTTCATGAGCTGGAAGCCCAAATTATGTAAAAATAAGCACATAAATACTTGAAATTGTTTAAACTGTGGGTCCTGATTATATCATCTATTAAAGATTAACATTTTCAATGGAATTATGGAAGTTAAACAACTTTTCCATGATGTTCTAATTTTTTGGAAAGGGTCTGTATAGCATTACAAAATGTAATTCTCTAAATTAGTTTTCAATATTTGTCACTGCTGAAACAATATTAACTAACAGCTGAACAATGAAGACAGATAATTCTGAATAGTGGAACATTTCGGCTTTAGGATAACAAGAGGACGACTTCCAGCAGCTATTTTCATGTTAGAGACATGAGGAGGACAGCTTTTATCATCAGTTTGGCCTGGCATTTAATTATGATCAGACCTACATGGCCATTCTGCTCACTCAGCAAATCTTGGGCTTCCATAACAAAACCTTAAATATACAAGCAAGAAAATGTCTGTTATTATTTCTAAATAATTATAAGATTGCATGCACATTTTTCTTTGCCGAGGATTCCCCTCTGCCCTGAAACAGAGCAACTTGTCAGATAAAAATAGACGAGCGACAATCAGTGCCTGGCTGCTTGGGGGCGGTGATCTATGGCCGACCCCTCACCGTGACAACCCTTGGAAGGGATGCTTCTTTCGCAAACAAACAGTCTCCTAAAAATTGCTGGAGTTCAGGTTCAGACACAGAGTGGAGGAAAAATAATAAAACAGCCCACATGCTTTCAAAGAAGACAGTGAAATGTGAGCTGTGCCGGCGTGGGAGGACAGGCTTGTGTTTAGGAGACGGAGAGACACTTCAAGCCACAATGGTGACGTGGACGTGTCCATATCTGTGACACACAGGTCGGCTCAAATCATATTAAAAATTCATAACAGAGAAAAGGCACGACAAGCGTTTAATTTGTCAGGTGGAGTATAGTTCAAGGTAACCTGGAAGTGTGGTTGAAACAAATTCAGTTTATTATAAAACGATTTACAACAAATGTCATCTCAGAGCAATACACAAACATTTAATCAATAAATACATTTTTTTTTAAATCAAGCGGTACATCAATGCCCCCCCCCCCCCCCCATCGCTGAGAAATTAAAAAAGTGAATGATTGTAGTTTGCAAGTTGGGTGTTTATCTGGACTGGAATTAAACAGGGAGTACAAGTAAACCTAAATGTTTTTGATGCAAGATATTCAATATGGTAGGAGTTACACTGTGTAAAAGAATGGTGGTAGTGTTTTTTTTTTTCTTGTACAAGGTGGCACAGAGTGAAGGATCTTGGCAAGCAGTGAGGGGGCAATTTTATCCACCACTGGGTGTAATGGTGGAGCCAGCGGGTGGCCAATGGTGGCTGCGGCAACTATAGCTTAATCTTCGGCAACCCCAGTCATTTGAGGAAACTATACATTTAAGCAATGTTAAAACATTGACAATATCATTTGAGGATACTTTATGCAGTTTATACACACATACACAGTAGTCCCTTGTTTATTGCAGGGGTTACGTTCAAGACCCCACCCCCCCCCCAAAAAAATAAGGAAGTAGAAATGCTCTATATATATATATATATATATATATATATATATATATATATATATATATATATATATGCTTTTAAAACACTTCCCACAATCTGGCAATGTTCTAAACTCTTAAGCCTATGTAATTTTTCCAACATATGTATATGTACTGTACAGTACTGCAAAATTTTACTTACCAGCTCTGCAGAACAGCTGCTTGGTTCTGGTCCAGCTCGGTTCCGGTTCTGCAGACCTACCCTGCAGCGACCAAGCAACGTCTCTGTGGATGTTCCAGAAGTAATACACAAATTAATTTAAATTGTTTTTTGTTACATTAGATGTTATATCGATGCAAACAGGTGTTGCTAATATTGCATGCACCGTTTTCATGTTTTCACAACAGATTTCATGTAAAACGTTGCAGGAACAACAAAACAAATGTGGAAACACCCTGGAAATGGGATAACCACTCGCTGTTTGGTTCGACTCGCTTCACGGCAACTTTCCACGCTACAATCTAACACACACGAACCCCACAGCTGGAAAACTGCCCGAGGCAGGAATCTTCAATTTCAGCCTTAAAATGGAAAATTTATTCCATTTAAAAGCAAAAAAATCTGCCCATTTAGATGAGAAAACAAGCCAAACAAGCTAGTAGTGTGTTTCCTCTTTGACAGAAGGTTGCAATAACAAATCCCAGCTGGTACTGAAAAAAAAAAAAATGCAAATCAGCTTCTGTGCTTGAAAGTTGTCAGCAATGACGATTATGGAGGAGTCGGCATCTTGTTTGGGGGTTGAAAGAATCACCAGAGTGAATATTATGCTTTGGTAGAAGAAAAGGATTAAGCGTGGTCTCAGTGAGAGTAGCCCCCCCACACACACATTCCCTCTGGTAAGAGCCTTCAGAAGCACAAAGAGTTCCTCTGTTACCTACAGGGCAGCAGCATTCTGCATAGTAAACACAGAATATCCTCTGTGGGAAACAGGAATACGAGCAAACATACGGGGAGTAAACCAACGAGGCTGTCGCTAACTTTAAGAAACACCTGCAGCTTCAGGAGCGAGCTGGAAAAATGAGCTTCAACTTCTTTTCTTTAGCTCGTTTGATTACAAAAGCAGCTGAACATGTCTGCTTGCAACCCCTAATAAAATCCATCTATCCATCATCTTCTGCTTATTCTGAAATCAGATCTCAGGGGCAGCAGCTTGAGCAGGGAGGTCCAAACATCTCTTTCCACAGTCACCTCTTCCAGCTCATCTGGGAGGACTCCAAAGCATTCCCAGGCCACTCAAGAGACATACCGTAGTTTTCAGCCTACAAGTCAGTTTGTTGCATAATTCGACTTACACACCGAAGCAACTTATTTTTTTTTCCATAGTTATAAACCAATTTTTGGCTGATATGACCGTTTTCATTCATTCTGACATTGAAAATATCGAACACTACCATTTTCAGCCGCTAGATGGCACTCGAGTGGTATGGCATGCCATTGTGTCATGTAATAGGTAAAAGTGGCTATTAATGACACAATCGGCTCGCCATAGATTGCCACCGTCGTCTGCGTGGAGCAACCATCAAATCAGCTTCATTTCGCTGCACCGCCCCGGCAAAATGCAGCTAATTTGACCACTGAAGAACATTTATTAAGCAAAAGTTCAACTGAGACAAATCTTTGATATAATGTCGAGCAAACAAATATTTTTAAGTGTTAATCTTGTTAAAGTCATCCTGTGCACACTCCTGTGGTCGCCATTTGGCAGCCATTCGATTTTTGCCACAACACCGGCCCACATTCCAAGGTTGTCAACGGTGACGCATAAAAGATGCAATGTATACAGTGAAGAGACTTATTTATGTATTTTTCCACTTTATTAGACAGATTTGGACTGATGTGACTTATAAAGCGGTGCGACGTGTACAGTGGAAAATACGGCAGTCTCTCCAGCGTGCCATGGGTCTTCCCTATCGAACATGCCTGAAGCACCTCCCTAGGGAGGTGTCCAGGGAGCATCCGTACCAGATGCCTGAACCACCTCAACTGGCTCCTCTTGATGTGGAGGAGCAGCGATTCTACTCCAAGTCCATCCCAGACAACTGAACTTCTCACCCTATCTCTAAGGGAGAGTCCAACTACCCTGCAGAGGAACCTCATTTCAACCGCCTGTATCCACTATCTCATTCTTTCAGTCACTACCCAGAGCTCATGACAGTAGGTGAGGGTAGGAACGTAGACCGACCAGTAAACGAAGAGCTTTGCCTTACAGCTTAGCTACCTCTTCACCACAACGGACCAGCACAGTCCACAATACTGCAGATGCTGCACCAATGCGTCTGTTGATCTCATACTTTATTCTTCCCTCACTTGTGAACAAAACCCTGAGATACTTGAACTCCTCCTCTTGAGGAAGAACCTCAGCCTCGACCCGAAGAGAGCAATCCACCCTTTTTCTGACTGAGGACCATGGCCTCAGATTTGGAGGTGCTGATTCTCATGCCAGCTGCGGTCCGCTCCAGTGAGAGCTGGAGATCATGGCACGATGACGCCAACAGGACCACATCATCTGCAAACAACAGATGGAATCCTGAGGCCAACGAACTGGACTCCCCCCGCCTAATAAAATCCTTTGAACAAAAAATTACAATTTTCTTTTAAATGTCATTGATTTAGATTGCGCTTCGTACCACAGACCGCACAAGGACATAAGTTTCTAATGATTTTAAACTTTATTGATGTTAAAATTCTGATTTCATGTTTGAACAGAGAAGACGCGCCGCCTCCCGAAAGTCGTCCGGCGAGTCGGCGCCTCCATCAGAACCCACAGCCGAAGTCCCGTCAGACGGACGTGAGCGAGGCGAAGCCTTCCAACGTGGGACGAACACGCAGCCCCTCCAGCAACAGCCGTGGACAAACACCCGTCAAATACGCCGCGGCTGAATATGAAAGCAGATACGCAGTGTGATGTGACTTGAACCTGTTACGTTTCGATGGACAATACAGGTCAGTGTGGACAAAATAAAATCATAAGAAGCATCTGCAGAAAGACTGCATGAAGGATTTAAACCAGAGAGCTTTATTTCATGATTGACCTCATTTGAAAATACTCAACCATTAAAAAAAAAATACACCGACAGGTTTTTCCGAGGATGAGCTGACAGGAGTTGACATCAATAATCACATGCAATGTGTTTTTGTCCCCTCCCACCCCTACAAACCCCTGATGGCAGACAAAGACCCCCCCCCCCCCCACAGCAGGAGTTTGTATGTTCCAGGGCAGTGTGGACAGTCAAAAGTTTAAAAACTAAACCTATCGGCGTCTTCTGCTCCATAAGCATCTGGACTCGGGCGGAGCTGATGTGCTTAGTGTTTACTCTCTAAATCTCAGGGAAACACGCACGCATGGCTGCGCATTGAAAGAAAGTCGAGCTGACAAGTTCAGCAGAAATCTATGCGTTTGTAGGAAATGATAAAATAAAAAAATCCAAATTGAGTTCCTGTTAAAAGGAAAACCCTATACCAGCTGCGCACCTGCTCACCGCGGTGGAAAATTGATGCGCGTTTGTGAAGTGATTATGGCACCGGGAAATAAAACGAAACACTGAGCACGGCAGCTCCGGAGAGATCTGAAAAATAAAAAAAATAAAGTAAAACTTCTGCAGATCTATGCCTCGAGTACCAAAGTTTTCCCTCAAATTAAAAAAAGGAGATTTTCAGACGCAGCACCAAAATGAGTTTCACATGAAAGAGACCGACTTGGAGGATGGAGAGATGGAAAAACATTAGGGATGCACGATATTAGATTTTTGACCGATATCTGATATGTTGAAACTTATTTGGCCGATAACCGATACCAATATTTTCCCTTTAGACCTACTTACAGGGTCTACATAGCGTTCTCTGCTATGGAATTCAAATCCTACATTATTCTGCATGGCCTTTGCTAATTTTGTAAATTTTCACAAATCTAAACTCAACGGCACGTGTGATGTCATAACGTCGTGCTGGCGCTGCAGGCATCTTTGTCACTGGGTTGTCATACAAAAACAGCAC